GATATTTTAATTAAGTAGCTTTGTTTAGCCAACAACTCAATCTGATGCTTTTCATGGGGATTCTTTTTTGGGTCTAAATAGATCTCTAGGAGAAAAGGTGTATTATCATTTATGTCAGAAAGTGACATGATCTTCGTACTTGTTAATCCATAAATAAGGATATGTCTATCACAGGCAGAGAAAATGAAGGGGTGGGGAGAGAAACAATGCATAGCAGCAGGGTTTCTGTGTGTGTCTAGCAGAGCATGAGAAAATGAGGATGATGCTGATTTAGCTTTCATTCTATTCATCACTGAAGTTGTGAAGCTAATATTATGCATAGATACTGTCGTTCCTTTAAGTCAATATAATGCATATGCACTTTAGAAGGCTTATGGGTTTACCAAGGTTTTGTGGCAACACTTATAGGAACTTTAGAACAATTCTGACTTCTAAAGGGAATGACGTCCCTGAAAATACTGCTACATGGGATGGAGACTAAAGGCACACCCTAGTTTTGACGCAAATGCTGGAATGGCAGGTAGGGAGAGGAGGATTACCGTTGTCTGCTCCTAGTCCCTGAAATGGCATCTCTTAGATAAACCACCCCGCCAGGGGAGAAACGACTATCTAGTATTTTGACAAGGAAGAGTTTATAAACACTAGACAAAACTTGGACCTTCGGCCAAGGAGGGATTATGAGAGGGGGTGGGGACAAAGAGTCAAACCAAGAATGTCTGGGATGAAAAGAAGCCAGTGCTAAGCCACATGGCCAAAGAATCGAATGATCAGTTTTAGCTGCAGAGAAGGCTGAGTAGCAGGTTAGGGCATCTTTTACTTATTTCTGCTATCATAAAAAAATTGAATTTCTAATAAAAATCATTTGGAATAATCTCTAAATTGAGACACTGAAGAAGAATGAGACTTAAAAGGTCTATCTTTGTATCTTGGGAATAAAAACTGTTCAGAAGCACAGAATTGCCATGAGTGATTTCAGCTACCCATCTTGCTGTAGAATTTCTGTAGCTGCTGCTCATTAGGAGGGAAGAAGAGGAAGGCAGGGCTCTGAGAGGGTCCTGTGTGAGCCTCAAGTAGGCTACAAAGGGGCAAAGCTACCTTGGCAACACTTGCAGTATCTTAGATTGACAAGTTCTCATTTCATTTTGCTGCATATCCTTCTGTGTCGCCTAGCTACTGTAAAGGATTCATTATTCATTAAATAAGTGATGAATATATACAAAAATTGCAGCCACATGGGCTGCACAAATGCATTTTCATATTATTAACATGTTGCCAACTTGCAACTCTTCGAAGTCTAGTAAATGTTTTGACAAGAGGAGACAGTAAGGACAAATAAGAAGTAGCGGTCTTGAAGAAATTCAGCCCCACTTCTAACAGCTTTAAAGTCTTAAGAGTGTTTTCACTGGGGCAGTACCAGATAAATTGCTCTTATATGTGCATGCAAGAGGCTGAAATTCCTTTGAAAGTTTATAATTTCTCATGGGAAAACACAACATAAAAGTTACTTTTACTCATAGAAAAACAAAACCATATTTTCCTGTCAACCTTTGCTGTTGGGAATTTCAAACTTTTTACATTTTTTTCCTGTGATTCTTAGCTGGCCCAAGGGACAGGCGTTTACAACATAATTTACTTTCAACGTGTCTCTGTAAATCATTGTAATACTCTCTATTGCTTGTGGAGAGGGGGGTGGGAAAAAAAAACTCCCAATGGGGCTTCCTGTCCCACTTTCCCTAGACTCCAACCGCCCGAACACAAACAGAAACTTTCCCTTTTAATGTCCAGCCTCAAAGACAAATCCACACAAAGGAAACATCATACAATGAGTACAGGTAAAGACAGAACCACGGGCAGACTTCCAGGGAAAGATTATATCCCAAGATTAATTAGGAGAGGGGAGACTTGCCCTTGGTGATGTGGAAATTGTAGAAATGCTCAAGTCATTTTAGAGTAGGTGGATTGCCCTCAGCCAAATGACTTAAAATCTTTTTTCATAAAATCCTAAGGACCTGTAGCATACTTTTGCCAAGCTATTAATATCAAGGGTCATTCAGTTTTACATGAGAATTTGATGACTTATACACTGGTTGAACCTTCACCTTTTACAACCTTAATGGGAATTTATTAGCTATTTCACAGTGTGTAAATTTGAATCTAGGTCAGATGAGGAAGAAAAATAGGGCATACCCAGGCCTAAAGAGTAACCTGAAAAATAATATATCAGAGCAAAAAAAGATAAGGTGCAAAATTAAACAGATGATTAAAAGTGTCTTAAGCAAGTGGAGATTTGAAGACAGAACCTAATAAATTAGGACTCTATATAGACCATTTGAGCCAAATTCACGTGACTAAGTGAGCTTGATTCCTACACAAGCGCTGCAGATGAAGGAGTTAAAATATCAAATTAACCTGCTTCTGCTAACTGTCCCTAACAGGAAATGTAACCCAGGTGGGTTTGATATTCACAAGATTAAAGCGTATGTCTACCATCAAATGGTCACCACATTAAAGCTGTTTTAATGAGGACTTGGAAAGATAATGAATGAATGTCGCTAATTCACTACAGAGAAGACAGCCTGACCTCCTCCTGACCTCTCTGCCGCCAGGTATCTTAAACAACATATTAGTTCTGCTTAAAGCCAAAATGGGATGGTCCGTAAGATAAAAACAAGCCAAATGCTTACGAGAATGACTTTTGCTGGTGTTAAAGCCAGAAAAAAAATTTCTCCCTGGAGTCCTTATAAAAAGAACACTGTGAAAAAAAAAGAAAAAAAAAAAGAACACTGTGTAACAGGATGAAAATCATCCTCACTGACACCTTTATCTCAGAGCCCTCAGCTACATCAGGCTGTTTCCTCCAGTGCCCCTCAACACTGTCCAGTGACACCATGCCAGGAAAATACCACTAGGTAAAGGCATGGGCGGAGAACTATTATTTAAGGATATAACTCTCTGCTGGTTTAACCTAATCCTGAGTAAATTTTAGAGGATTTAGAGAGACTGCTTATCTCTCAGGTAAGCCTTCATAAATATCAAGCATTTGATAGATTTACAACAGCAGTGTATTAGAGATTGTATTTGCTAGAAAATACTCCGGGCTCAGCCAATTTATTGTAATTCCCCTTGTTTTTCCAGGCAGCAAGAGTAGGGGGTAGGTCTTTGTGGGAACTGAGGACCTAGTGACAGTTTTTCCCAAAGAAAAGACAACTTGTCTTCTGCTAAGAGATGAACCAAAGAAGTGGCTACGGGGCGCCGGGGTGGCTCAGTCGGTTAGGCATCTGCCTTGGCTCGAGTCATGATTCTGAGGTCCTGGGATGGAGTCCCATGTCGGGCTCCCTGCCCAGCAGGGAGCCTGCTTCTCCCTCTCCTCCCTGCTTGTGCTCTATCTCTGCCTGTCTCTCTCCCTCAAGTAAATAAAATCTTAAAAAGGAGTAGCTATGGTTAGAGATGGGAGACAGGAAAGACTCTAGTACCTATTTTGGTCATTGAATACAAGAACTGTCAAATAAGGTAAAATGAATACAAGTGAGAATTCACTTTAAGACTTCAATAACAACGATACAGTAAGTAAGTACATTACAGTGGTTTCAGATTTTTTTCTGGAGGAGAAGAAACATGTTGGATGGAACTGGAGTTTACATGGGACTTGCATTGGAATATTTTCTCCTAAATAAGATTATCAGGAAAGTCTACAGATGTATTAAACGAATACTGTGGTTTGTCTATATGCACACAGCCCCGGCTTTTTTAAGGATATCTTTAGTTTAAAATACTGAAGAAAATTTAAGCAAGAGGGGAAAATCCTCAAAATTATTTTCCAGGCCAGATTTATTTTGGCAGTCACATTCAGGAAACTATGTAGTGTACCAAGTTTTGAGTATTGTATTTGGACACTAATCCATAACTGTAGTCATCAGTTTACTGACAACCATCTGCTTGGACACTACTCCCACATTTTAATAAGTAACGTTAAGTTAAAATGGCAACAGACAATTTTGGCAGCAGAAGTAAAAGTGGTAATAGCACCCTTGAACCCATACGAAGAATCAGGAGTCAAACAGCAATACTATTCATAATTATGCAAACATGTTTAGGTAAAGAGTACTATCTTTTTCCATTACAACCATGATTCTTAAAAGAATGATCTGTGTTCATCTTTGCTTCTTTATCTGTCACTTTACCACCTACAGAAACCTTGTTTTGCCAGTGCATTCCATTGATGAGTTCCGGCTGTCAACTCAAACTAAATTTTCTGTCATTATCTTACTTTCCCTTAGCCATTCGATGTTATGGAGACAAAAATATGGCTTAATAAATGTTGGACACCCTCTACGCTCTGGCCTTTTCTTAGTCCAGCTACCATATACATCTCAATGACTCCCCAATACCCACATTTAGCCTAGACCTCTTATAGGAAGTATACACCTACATAATCAATGACCCACAAGGCATTTCCTTATAAATGTTTCACAGATATAGTCTAATAAAAACATTCAAAACCAAACATATTTCTATCCATACCACCCACCCCTACACAACATTCACCAAACCTGTCCTTCTATTTAGTTTTGTCAGAATCTCAGGAAAAAGAACCACCATCTACCCCATTACCCATGCCAAAAACCTAGAGTCCCTGTTGATTTCGTCTCCTTTCTTTTTCATAAAACAATTAGTCACAATGCCCTGCATGTTCGTTAGGTTATAAGTGATTGAGAATACAATATAAATTTGCTTAAAAAAGGGGCACCTGGTGGCTTAGCCGGTTGAGCGTCTGCCTTCGGCTCGGGTCATGGTCCCGGGGTCCTGGGATTGAGTCCTGCATCCGGCTCCCTGCTCAGCAGGGAGTCTGCTTCTCCCTCTCCCTCTACCCTTCCCCCCTGCTCCTGCTCTCTCTCACGCTCTCTCTCTCTCTCAAATAAACAAAATCCTTAAAAAAATAAAAACTTAAAAAATAAATTTGCTTAAAAAAATGAAAAGAATAAAAATATTGGCTCATTTACCTGAAAAGTTCAGTCCTAATCGGCTCTATGGCTGAAATTCCTGGGCCTTCTTAAGAGTCTTTCCAACTCTTAGAGGTTTACTTGTCTATTGTTTCCATTGCCGGTAGGCTCACCAATTAGAGGGGCCAAATCTAGACTCTAAACTCCTAGCCCATTCTCTCAACCATTCCAGCTAAAAAACAGTGTCCCTTCCTCAAAGTTTCAAACAAAAAAGTCAGGGAATTTAATCTTACGGTCTCTCTTTGGATTGAATTGGAGGAAGTGCTTATCTCTGATCCAAACAGCATGGGTGGGAGGAGGCAGAACCTGATTGGTGGTCTGAATTATACAGCCACACCTGGAACAGGGGTGAGGTCAGAACCACTTAAGGCACAAGAATGAGAACTGTGAAGTAGTAATAGCACAAAAATTAGGGTGCTTTACCAACAGAGGGAAGTGGGTGCTAGCAGAATATTCCAAGAATATGCATTTTCCTTCTTTTTTTCCTAAACATGAGCAAAATATAGAAAAAATAAAAATAAAAGTGTGAATGTGTTAAACTTTAACCTTGATATAGTGTTAACGGTAACAGTAGGACTCTGTGAAAAGCAGGCATATTTTGGACATCATCTGAGTTCCCTTGGAAAGCTTCTGTCTGTATTTATCTCCTGAGCATGCAGCAATTTTTATGTATAGCAAGGCTTAATGGTTTTACTCTTTTGAAGTGAATTATGGATTTTAAAAATAGATAATTAATTTAGATTTTCCTGGCTTAAATAGTAGAATAGTAGTTCACTCGAGAGAGACTGTAGTAAGAGGAAAAGGTGGGTTTTTTTTTTTTTTTTTTTAGCTTGAAGAAAAAAACTCAGGAAAGACTTAAATCATGGACATTAAGCACATAAAGATTTTTCATACTAATTTTACTCACCAGCTGTTCCTTTCCACTGCAAACTAAACAAAGAGGAAAGCTTAATTTCCAGAAGGAGGATTTAGATTAGGCACAGGGAGTCTGATGTTGCCGTGCATACTGAATGTACCTGTAGGAGAGCAGACCCTCAGGTAGCTGTGACATGGAGTCCGCTTGGCTTGCTGCACTAGCATAATGATGGCTTCTCGCCCCACGCTCCTCTCCATCCTTTCTGATTAAGGAGGTAGGAAAAGCTCAAGTCGGGTGCTAAAATGCAGTCACCGGGGGAAGGAGGTTATGCCCCTCTCTTCTACATTTCTATTAAGCTGTGAAAGATGCTATCTGCCCAGATTGGGTTGTACCAGAACATTCTCAAAATCCAGAAACTGAAGGGTTTTGTTAACCCCCACAGGGTTAGGCCCCACTGGCAGAATCTGAGTCAGTCAGTCTAGGGTGGGCTTGGGAATTTTTATTTCTAAAAAGTTTCCAGGTGATACTGAAGCTGCTGCCCCAGGCATCACACTTTGAAAATTACTAGCTTCAACATCGCCCTGTGGTGGCAAAAAAAAAAAAAAAAAAAAGGGTTGGGGGGGAGAGCGAGAGAGACTTGGGGATTCTTTTAAAATTAGATGACTTTGAAATACAAGTGCCCAGGTAGTTCCCTATACTTAATGAATTAATTGTAAGCCTCTATAAGCAGTATTTTCTTAGAATATTTTTTTTTAATTAAATTGAGTTCATATAGAAGAGTTTTCTCAATATTTCTTCGCTTTAGGGCACTGGAAATCTTCTAGAGAAATCTAGCTTATGGTTTTTCCACAGTACTGAGTATTTTTCTATTTCTGAGCTACACTCTTCCCCTGACAAGTCACCAGCCAACATACTTGCCATCGTCACCTGAGAAACATCAGAATTCCAGAGAATAAGGCCTGGGTATTTATATTTTTACAAGACCTCACACCCAGGGAAAATGAAATATGCAACTGGCCTAGTGTCTCTCCAGTGGGTCCTTGTGGCTCAGTGTAATGTATCCAGCAGCAGTGTTGTACATAGATTCAAAAGTCCTACATCTCAAGCAGTTTAGATGGAAGTGGAGATGAAGTACCTTGGAAAGCTCTAAGTTCTCTGAAAAGTGGTTCTAGTTATAAAGAAGACACTGCAGTCAAAAAATCATACAGGGAACCCAGGGGTGCCTGGGTGGCTCAGTGGGTTGAATGCCGGACTCTTGGTTTTGAATCAGGTCATGAGATCTCAAGATGGTGAGATCGAGCCCTGCCTCAAGCTCCCTGGTGGGTTCTACCCTCAGCAGGGAGTCTGCTTAAGATTCTCCCCCTCCCTCTCCCTCTACCCCTCCCCCTGCCTTCTCTCTCTCTCTCACTCGCTCACTCTCAAATAAATAAATAAATGAATAAATCTTTTAAAAAATCCTTTTTAAAAAAAATCAGACAGGAAATCTGAATATAATCGTTTCATGACTTGTGAGCATGGGATAAAAGCAGTATTTCTAAACGGGCATTTGATAGAAAAGGTGATTTTATTAAATATGCATGAACATTAAATAAATATATTTATAAATAAATATATTCAAATAATAAATAAATTAGATCTCACAATGAGAAAAACAATTCTCTAAGTGAACTCTCTTTTTCTCTTGAATGAACTGGCTCCTTGGTTAGCTTGAGTAGTTCGCTTGAGAACTTGTGAACTACTCAAGATAGGTCCAAAGTTGCAAGGCATGTAACCGTAGTATAAGTTCCCATTGGGTTTGAGAAAAAGTGAGAATCCTCCTGCTTTAAGTGGGTAAAATTCTTCCCTTACTCTTTTTTGTTTGATGTACAGCAGTTAGACTTTTGTCAAAGATGCAGACAAGAGATCTTTGAATGATCTAACCCACTGTTTTCTTGTCCTCACATCCCTCAACCTTGGAGGTCCCAGGCCTCATTTTAGATAACATTTTAGTGTTAACAGAGAAGGCTCCCATCAGTTTGGAATGAGCTTATTCAAACTGGCAAAAAATGATGTCCCACTGCCCACTTTATGGATGAGGAAATTAAGGCTCTGAGAAAACTCACGGAGATAATGCATGCAGAGCACTCACTTCAGGGTCCGGCACATGGTAAACTGCTAGCACACCTAAGGCACAGTACCTCTTCGGGAATGCATACATATTGGACGTGCAAACATCCATGGTGGTCCGGTCTATGACGAGTAGGTGCAAAAGCAACAGAACAGAGAGATGAGAGTAGCCAACTCAGTGTAGAGAGGCTACAGTGAGGGTCTCAGAAGATAGGTCCCTTGAAGCCTATGTGGGAGTTAGCACCATGGTCCAAACACCTGCATTTATTGAATGGATACGTAAGAATGTAGACGATTTCACCATGAAATTCAGGTAAAATAAGACCTCATTCTGATGCAATGTAAATAGGTTTGATCAGAACTCCTTTTTTTTTTCCTCTTTGATTGAATTATAATGTGCATTCAGTGGTTCTCAAAGCTGTTCATCCATGACAATAATAGAGGAGTTGCTAATAAACACAAACACTAGATACTTTGGAAGTTCCAATTCCATTTCATAGATAGGAAAGAGAGTGGGGTAGGGTAGCAAAGGGCTCTACGCTTTTAAAAAGCTCCCAGGTGCTTCTGGTTATTAGTAAGGTCTGGAAACCACTGGTTTAGTACAGCTGTTCTCCTCACTGACTGAACACTGGAGTCACCTGAGGCCCTTTTAAAACTATCCAAGCCTGAGCCCTGCCCTAGTTATCTGTATTTTATTTAATTTATTTTTTTAAGATTTTATTTATTCATTTGAGACACAGAGATAGAGAGAACATGAGCAGGGGGAGAGGCAGAGGGAGAGGGAGAAGCAGGCTCCCCACTGAGCAGGGAGCCCGACTCGGGGCTCGATCCTAGGACCCTGGGATCATGACCTGAGCCGAAGGCAGATGCCTAATGAACTTAGCCACCCAGACGCCCCCTGTATCTTATTTACCAATAAGTAATTACCATAGTAAATACCAATTACAATAGGTAATTGTAACGTGCAGCCAAGGTTGAGGCCCACTAATTGAAGCAGATGAGTGTATTGCACTTAGCAAAAGGAGGGTGGGTGGGCAGACGGAGGGAATAATAATAATAAAAAAAAAAATATTAGACATAACAAGGCACTGTTATGGAGGTTTAATTATGAATTATAAGTACTTTGAATCCACTTTTGTTATTATTGTTTTACCCCCTTCTCAACTCCCAAATCTTGTAAAGACATAGGGGAAGGTAGATACTTGTTCTGATGCTAGTTTCCAGGATGCATTTCAGCCTGAAATGTTTCTTTCAGTAAGTGCAGTTAGCTTGCACTGAAAAAAAAAAAAAAAAAAAAAAGTGAAGAAACGGGCGCCTGGGTGGCTCAGTTGGTTAAGCGACTGCCTTCAGCTCAGGTCATGATCCCAGAGTCCTGGGATCGAGTCCCGCACCAGGCTCCCTGCTCTGCGGGGAGCCTGCTTCTCCCTCTCCCACTCCCCCTGCTTGTGTTCCCTCTCTCGCTGTGTCTCTCTCTGTCAAATAAATAAATAAAATCTTAAAAAAAAAAAAAAAGTGAAGAAACATTCTTCATAGTATCGCATTCTAAAATGAAGTGGAGTCTCTGTCCTTTGATAAGAAATAGTATAGTTTACCAAGCCCTTTTGCCTTATAAATTACAGTGTGTGGGTAATCCTGGTTTTCATTGTGTTCAAAAACATGTTTGGGGGAAAATATCCTAAAATTTCAGAATTCTTTTTTTGAATGTGATGTGTCAAATTAATTTTAAAAGGAAAGAAAAAAACAGCTAAGGTGAGAGATAAATCAAGCAATCATTATTCTCTCAGTTGTAAGTTTTGAAACTCAAGGGGACAGAACATTTACAAGGGATCATAATTCACTTATGGCAGATGTTTCTATTTTAACTACATATACACAACCATTAAGAGCAGGCCTTCACATTAGGTGGGTCCTTGATGAGTCCTCATTTTGGCTGTTCTCACGAAGGACGATCATTCTAATGCTTTCCTTCAGTGTCTGTTTAGCACATTGAAACCCTTGAAGCCTTTGGATAAGAAGAAATTAGATATTCTATGTAAGATTGTTAAGATCAAGTTTGAATTAACTTTGTGGTTCAAATGCTATCATGAAACAAAAATGTGAAGCTATTTTCAAAAAGGTATATCTTCTGTAATTCTGGAGAGTTGGATAAACCATTAAGTAGATATAAGCGATAGAATGACTAAGTTTTAATATTTATGGTGTAGGGAGGTTTGTGACAATATTTACAAGGTGAATAATATATTTAAGATTAGTTAATGCTAAAC